GATCTTTGGGCAAGGGTTCAAGCTGACAAATATCCAAGGGCCTGGGTATGAAGCCACACCATGATCCCCTGTTAGAGGTGAGCAGGGTGAGCTCCAGCTTGAACAATGGAGCCCTGGTTTCTGTGGCAAACATAATGTATTCATATAGTAGACAGATGTTGAGTTACAACAACTCACACCTGAAACCTATAGACTGTCATAATGCAAAGCTACTTCAATTTTTTTTTAATGGAGTCCTGGGCCAGGACTGATCCATAGTGAGGCTACCGGTTCCACAAAGACTTCAGGGTTCATTTTGCTTTTCTCAAATTGTGCAACTGGAGTCATCCTATTTGGTATTTCACAAAACTCCAATATTTGCTTCTTGGTCTGTTGTGCGAGGGACTAGCATCGTGAGGAAACCCAAGTAAAAGCTTCGTGACATCCTCCCAGCCACATGGGAGCCAAATCCTTCCATCAAAAACAATTCCATCTTCCAGAACTAATATGTATGAGAGCATATGAAATGATTAATTTTGAAAGTTGTAATAATGGTATTTTGTTTGTTTTTTAATGTTTATCTCTTTGTATACCTTCTTTAAGACTAAAAGAAGCAGTGGTGGTGTGCTCCAAAATATCCCAATTTAATTCAGCAGTCTAGACTCCTGCAAAACCAGACATTATGCTGAAGGATGATATGGACTACCACAAATTAACCCAGTCCACTATAATTGCAGCTACTGGTGCCAAACTTGGGATCTTTTGGCTGTGAGTATATGACATATGGGCATTTATTTGGCAAATGATTTCTTTTTCATCCCTCTCTTAATGGAGAATTAAAAATTGTTTGCATGCACTTGGCAGGGTTAACAGTATACTTTACGGCGTTGTGCCAGGGTTTTTAACTCCGCTGAATCTTCTCCAAATGTAATGCAAAGGGAGTTGAACCATTTGAACATTCTAGAATTCCTCTTAACCACGGTGTTAAGGCCATTGGATTAAAGTGGTTGGCAAGAAGGGGCAAGTACCTAGGAGATCCTGGAGAGACACAATGGGGAAGACAAGCCCTGTGAGGCATCAGAGGCCTCACGCGTCAGTGAAGCATCTAGGACTAGCATGTCTGCTCCAATCTGAAGGCTGTGTTGCCGCATTGCTCAACTGTGATCACCAAAGATGAAGCAGAACACTCTGTGGGCCCCTTTGGGTGCTGGCGGCCAAATGCCACACTTAAGTGGCTTACCAGCTCCGATCCATTTGCTGGATGACAGTAAGTGTTTCCAGTTTAGGCCAGTGCAGGAGACGGCCTTGCAGCAGGTCTGGCTAAAACGGGCCCAATCACGGGGGCACACAACCCTGCAGACTCCGGGCCACTTGGAAAGGAGGAGAGGAGATGCCCCGTCGGGCATCTGGATTAGCCCCAACACGAGAGTCACAGCACAGAGTCTAAGATCTTGAGACAAGCTGCTCCATCTGTGAGAGAGAACTGTACATCTTTAAAAAAAGAAAAAGAGGCCCTCCCCGGTGGCACAGCGGGTTAAGGCACAGCACTTAGGCACAGCTAAAGCCACTTCTTCATGAGTTCGATTCCCGCCCACCCCGGAGGTGACCACATGGCGTGGCAGACCTCTCCTGACCCGCCCGCTGCTGCCCTCAGCAGTGTACTTCGTCGGACTGCCTGTTCTGCTCCCCACTCTGTCTCTGGTGAATCCTCTCACCCTCCGCATCTCTGGCCTGTACCCCAGTTCTGTATGCACAAATAAATACATCTTTAAAAAAAAAAAAAAGAAAAGAAAAACTGCTCCTGGCATGTTACTCTGCTCTGATGGATAAACCCTGACCACTGATCCCCAGGTGACCATGAGATGGACGCAGTCAGGTCCCTCAGTCATAAGGGGGGGTGCGCCCAGCTGCAATCCATTTTTAGATGTAAATGGGGCCAGCTGGGATCAGGAACCAGAGAGCTGGGGAGACACAAGCATGAGCCACTCAGACTCCCTGCAGCTCCCTCTCCAGCCTCCTGGCTCTCGTCACTCCAGAAATGCCGGGCCCCAGGAACCATCTCAAACAGGAGATCTGAGACAGGTTCCTCGAGGGGTCAACATGGCCCCAGAGTCCAGCCAAAAATGGGGTTCTGCTTCCCGAAAGTCGACCCAGGATGGCCACAATCGGCATGCGGGTGCGCTAGACAGCAGCACCCCGCAGGGGGCACCACCAGCCCAGAAGTGGGGCCTCACCTGTGAACCTCACCATGTCCCTAGACCTAACGGGCTCTTGAAAGCTGGCTCTTCACCCCTCAGGCACATCCATGCTTTCATTTTAGAGGACGGTGCTTTAAACTGGGAGGGAGCTTCCGCCCAGGCCCCTGTCAGTAGTTTCCACTGATTTTACACCTGTGTAGTGTGGTTTCTGTCGTTGCTGTCGGCACTAACAATGGTTAACATTGTTCCTTGTGTCTCAGAGGTGCGGGATTTCACCCTTCAGGTGTTTTCCATTATATTGTGATGCTGCAATCCTTTTCACCATTCAAATCATGGCTCGACCGTACCCCCATGGAATACGGTTTTTAATCATCTTATCATTTTGGCAATACAAAAAAGGACTGCGTGTACTTCCTTTACATATGTACACTTTAAATACTGCGCCATCCATTTAGTGTTTAACTATATTCACTGCAATAAAGAGTGCTTTTGACATTTTCCCATTTAGCTTATGCTACGTGCTGTTTCATTTGCTCAAGTTTATTACATCTGAAAACACACGTTGACTACTGTACTAGTAATTCTGGTTTCCACTGGGTTTGGCTACTAGAAAGTGAAGGTGAGTCAAATCAGGGTAGTTGCCGCCCTAGATCTTGGACTGCTAATCCTTGTGGCCGTGAAGGGTCCTCTCTATCTCCCACCTCTTTAAACTGGGCTTGACCGTGGCTTCCTGCTGAGACCAGCCTCGGAGTTTCCCAGGGTCCCTTGGGGTTTCTTTACTCTCTGGTCAAACATTCAAAATATTCTACTAAACACTCCCTGAATTATGTCATTTGAGAGTCTGCCATCTCTTTTCTGCCCAGATCTTGACTCTCAGAGGATACAAGACTGGGAAGGGGAACGATGTAAACTAGGTAATGGTCACAACCATGCAGTAGTCAGCAAATGGCAAAACAATCAAGCAATGGAATTGTGACTTCCCTTCTCTTATATCCATTAGGTGCCCCACACTCAACCAAACTCTCTCACTGAAGGAGAGGCTTGCGGGAAAACCAGTTCAAAATTACTTTATTTTTTTACTTAAAAAGTAGAGATGGGGCCCTCCCTGGTGGCGCAGCGGGTTAAAGCACAGCACTAAGAAGCTAAAGCCGCTTCCACATGAGTTCGATCCCCGCCTGGCCCAGAGGTGATTCACATGGCACAGCAGACCTCTCCTGACCCGCCCACTGCTCTCCTCAGCAGTGTACTGGTCGATCTGCCTGTTCTGCCCCCCACTCTGTCTCTGATGAAGCCTCTGGCCTGTACCCCAGTTCTAAATGCATAAGTAAATAAAATCTTTTTTTTTTTAAAGATTTATTTATTTATTCATACAGAACTGGGGTACAGGCCAGAGATGCGGAGGGTGAGAGGATTCACTAGAGACAGAGTGGGGAGCAGAACAGGCAGATCAACGAAGTACACTGCTGAGGGGAGCAGCGGGCGGGTCAGGAGAGGTCTGCCACGCCATGTGGTCACCTCCGGGGCAGGCGGGGATCGAACTCATGAGGAAGTGGCTTCAGTTTCTCAGTGCAGTGCTTTAACCCGCTGCGCCACCAGGGAGGGCCAGTAAATAAAATCTTTTTTAAAAAAAGGTCATGTGAGAGGAGACGCTGAGCCTCCTAATTCTCAGCATGTGAGAACAGCTGAGACACAGCTTTCTGCTCCCAGATTCCTTATCTTTTTACCTCCTCCCCCTTTCAATCTATTTCATCTGTCCTCTTTACAGGTCAGAAAGGAACCGAGTGTCACTGGAGGAGATGGTTCTACACATAATGGCTGGATGTGTGGCCTCCCAGGGAAGAGCTTGGTAACCAGTGGCAACCACGATTCTGTCTTTCCAGGTACTGGGCAAAATGAATGTCACTTTTCCCAAGTCTTATTCACTCTTAACAACCCTGCCTCAAGCAGCAACATTTCCTCGAATCCCTCTGCTGTCCACAATGTCCTACTGGTCAGCTCATCCCAGAGCTTGACCAGAGGAGTCTCATGAGTAAACAAGGAAATGGGAAATTCATCGATAGACTATATTCTCCCAAATTATTTTGTCTTCTTTCAAATTGAAACTTCGTATTGCTGATGCCCGTCATCTTACTATTGATAGTACTTTTAAAGATCTTTATAGTGTGCGTCACCTATTTCACTTCTCCAGAGGGTCCCTTCCTCCCTAACGTAGATCTTCAGCACTAGGAAAAAGCCACAACCCAAGTCTGTTGAGGTTGATTACATGCGAATCTCTGGAGCTTGACAGAATGAGACCCCTACACGTGGGGGCCCCGTAACCAGCCATACGAGAAACAGAGAGCACAAAGAACCACATGGGGGGTGGGCATGTCTTCCCAGAAACTGGATGGGATCTGGGGGAGCATCACTGTTCTTGTTTACATGTTTTTCTCCTACACAGTTCTGCTCTATCACAACAACATGTCAACTAGTGTGTGTTGTTCAACAGCCCGTTGAGTTCTGTTGCTGATTGGAGAAGAATGAGACCAACAGTCCTCTCCAGAAGGAAGTGTTGGGTTTTTTTTAATTAGCAAGAATGAAATTTACCATCAAATTGCACCCATTTCTCATAAAATGCTGATTCTTTGTATTTAGACCCCCGCCTCTTGCACGTGCTTTAGGAACTTGATAGACACCTCTCAGGGAAAGGGACCCAGTGACATAGGCCTCCTGCGAGGGAGAGCAAGGATGCACTGAGCGCTGGATTCGGGCGACGGGACTCAGCGACCTCAGGCCCTCGCCAAGGCCGCGGCCCTGCCGCGTGGCCGTGGGGCGGCCCCTTACCTTACCACACTGCTTACACTTCCCCTCCTGGCGACGCCTGTGCACCCAGTGATGACGCACAAAGTTCTGTGGGGAAATAAAGTAAGTGAATATATTTAAATCTGCAACATTAGTTTCTTTTGAGAATTTAGATTCCAAGCCTAAGCGCATAAAAACAAACACGCGTCCACATGGGTGTTTGACAGTTAACAGGAGTCCACGTGGATCAATGAATCCAGCCCTCCGTCCCCGGGGATCTCCCATATCTGTAGATATCAGTGGTCGCATCCCCCCTCTCTGTCGTCCTCATGGCCAACGGCCACCCCAACGACGCTCTGCTTTCGTCTAGTAGAGAGCGTGCAGCTGTGGGTCGGGGCATGCCAGAGAACAGGGCTGGCGGCAGGGCACGGAAGTACCCACAGAGAAACACAGAGCAGAAGTTGGCAGAGACAGTTTTTAACGAATGCATCCATCATGCTCTAGGCACGCCGGTGTGTAGGCGCATCTTCGCCCGAGCATCAGAGCTCCAGACTCAGGAGAGAATTTTTCACTAGAGTAGCCAAGGGAAGAGAAAAGCTGAGTGAGACGATGAGGGCCTATGGGTGAAGTTGGTGCCATAGTGTTGTATCCAAACTTTTAAGGGCCTCCCTGGTGGTGCAGGGGTTACAGTCTCGGCATTACCAAACAATCGCCAGCCACTGCAGCACCGAGTTCAATCCCGGGCCAAGGAGCAGCAGGGGGTGCAGCAGACCTCTCCTGTCTCCCCACCGCTCCCCTCAGCAGTGTGTTTCAGTGCATCTGCCCCTTCCGCTCCCCACTCTGTCTCTGGCGAATCCTCCCTCAAGCCCCGCCCAGCACCTCTGGCCTAGACCACAGGTCCTGTATGCATAAATAAATCTTTAATTGAAAAAAATAAACTTTCAAGAATGATTCTTGTCTTGAGCTCCAGGGAACACGGAAAAACCTTCCCCTCCCGAGCAGACAGCCATGGCTGGGGCAGCAGAGGTGACACCATGGCCCCCGCTGCCAGAACACATCCCAAGGGGGCGGGCATCTCTGAGGCCTGATGTGGTGCCCCCACCCGTCAGTGGGCTCACTCCTCTTAGACTGCCGCCTGGAGAGTACTCGCCAACTTCTGTTTTCTCTTGGCCTTTTCTGAGAAAGTACACTTAACCTGAGCTTAACAAATCTGTCATCAGGCCATAAACCACACTTCGCCTTCAAAAGGGCTATTAGCATCTATTCAATCATTCAACAAACTCTTACTAATGCCTACTCCCTGCCAGGCACTGTGCTAAGTACATAGAATAGGTTGTTGTCAAGGGGGAAGTATCATATCAGGGCATGAAATTCCACATGACAAAAATACCTCTAACGAGCATCAGCATTATAAATTTTAAAACGCCACCTTTATTTCCCTTCAATCTGTCAAATCAATTTAAAACTCAACAAAGATCCTGGGGGAATAATGGCCTTAAATATAAGATACACTGTGTGTTGGTTGCACTAATGAGTCTAATTTTTGTCTCGCTTTTCCCATGGTGGCATTTGACTAAACAAGGACACAGTTCTTGTGTTGTTCTCAGAAAGAAGCTAATAATAATAGCCAGCATTTGGTGCGTCCTAACTGCATGCCAGATACTTCTTAAATTGCTTTACATGTAATAATTCTCTTAGTTTCTATGAGTATAAGTGCTGTTCTGTTGGTAGTAAAAATCTAGGCATTGTTAAAAAAGGGAACCATCACTACATCACTTGAGAAGCTGCAGTTTGGTGCCCTAAACACCGCCCCCCCCCGGCTCCTCCCTGACTTCCACAGCCCCCCACCCATGTACACACACGCCACCTTCTCAACATCAGAGGCCATTTCTACCTCATGTTGTTAAGCAACTACAATATTGGTTGCTGGCACAAGAGAGCTCCAGGATGTTGCTCCAATGAGCTCTCTTTTAAAAACAAATCCTGTTGCCTGGGCAATGCCATTGGTTTCACCTGCAAACTTAGAAAACCGGGCAATGACGGTTACTGGGGTTCATCTGCAAGTTTAAAACTCAGTACAGGCAACCGAGGGGCCTGTGCTGGCGGGGGCTTCCAGGACGGCTGCAGCAAGCCTAGGGCCGGCCTGGCTGTCGGGGCTATACTGTCAGCTCATTGCAAACACGCTCCTGGGAGCAACGGCCCTCAAAGGTCCACTTCTACTTCACAGAAGAGACCGACCTTTCTGGCCTTCCAGCTGCATCACTGCCTGTTTAAGGAGGCGAGCTAGAGAGAGTGTGCAACTGTCTCAGGGGCGCTATCTCACGGGCACATCATCAGGGGACTGTACTGAATCATTATGATCATCCTCATTTTACAATAAGGAAACAAAGGCATGGAACACGCATCCAAATTCAGCGGAGTCACTGCCTCAGGTGCAAAACCCTCCAATGTCTGACTCCAACGAGCAGTCAGGAGTAGAAACACCAAATATAGGAAAACATCAGCCGTACTATAAGGGATAGAAATATTTCATAGAATCGCCATTAGTTTAGCAGAAACTAGGTGAGAATGAACAGCATTAGTGATGGTAGAAGAAATCTTCTACTTGTTGAAATAGTAAATCACCTAGTGACTATCAGTTTTAGGAGGGAGACGCTGAAGAAGTTTGATGCGATTAGCTTTGTGAAATCCTGGTTGACTCGTGGGATTATTTAGCTAGTGACAGCTTTAGTCAAAAGATTAAACCAACAATTTCCACAAATCAACAAGTATTTAGGAACTGACTTAATGAATCATTTGTGCTGCAACCTAAAATGTTTGGTAAGCAGATGTATGATACCATGAAATTTTGTTTATTTAGGGACTGAAACAGAACATTTCTAAAATTGTTTATTTAAATATTAACACATATAACTCTTAAGTTGTTAAATATTTATAATATCGTCCTTACTAGGAAATTAAAACACAGGCAGCTAAAGCAATTTAAACAAAAAAGAAACTGAGTAATCATCACAGAAGAACTGAGTAATCATCTCCCATCCACAGGTCTATGATTTGAGACGTCAATTGTCCTCCTACTCAAGGGTCTTCTTAGGTCTAAAATAAACTTCCTACATTGTACAAAGTAAACATCCAATAAATATGTGGATGACATTCTCAACTTAATTTTACTAACAATGAAATCATGTAGTTGTCATGTCATCAATTGGGGAAAAATCCATTGCTATAGAATTTGCTATTTTGTACTCCTTATTTCCCAGGCACTTTGATTTTTCCCTTTTTTCCTTTTGAATTATCAGTCATATCTGCTAAATTACTTAACTAAAGTTACTCACACTATAAATATGGGTGTCGACACATTGCTATTGAGATAGCAAAGCAAGGCTTCTCACACGATAACATATTTACATTCTTCATCAATCATCACTGAATTTTCCATATAGTATTTCAAGTACCAGATAAAGACAGTGCTATTAGTGATGGGTGTCAAAATCGCAGAGATATATATCTCAGGGTTTATGTTCCCAGAAATACATAACACATTACTCAATTATTTTCAAAGAACTAACGCAGCTCATAGTCATAAGATGTTCAAAATGATCTTTGAAAAAAATATCCTACTCCATACAGTTAATGTCTAAGAAAAAAGGAGGTCCAGAAAGAGTCAACTTACAAACTTACATTTAAATTTTTCAATTTCCACGTATAGTCACTCTACAAAGCAAGAGGGTCAGAGATGAACAATCTCTGCTCTCGATCCCTGCTCTGGGGACAATCATCATCAAGTGGAAAAGCAGCAGAAGTGTCACTTGAGCACGGATCAAACTAATTTTAAAGAACCTGCTCTTTCATTTGCATTAAGGATAAACAGCCTAAGATATCTTAATTAATATTCTCAGATGGCTCATAGGCCTGTCATAAGCATCATCTTCAAATTATACTCTTAGATCTAGAGTTCTCGAACTCTGTGGAGAAATGGCCCTTTATAAATGCATTAAGTCAGCCAACATTCTGTGGCTCTAGCCTCTGTGCCCTGGAACCATGTGTCTGGGACAAAGTGATCAGTGTCCTCTCAGAGCTCACTCCACAGGAGGGAGACCGCAGAGAGAAATGAGTGATACATTCAAAAAATTACAATACACAAGAGCTCTAAGGGAGCAAAATAAGGCGCTCTGCTAAAGAATAACCTGCCACTGACATCAAGGAAGACCCCTGGGGGGTGACATTCTGTGCTCAGGCCTAACTTAAGAGACAGCCAGTCATGCAAAGAGATGTCCATAGAACGATAATCTGCATAAATATCTGAAGAGGGTAATAATGTGATGTGTGACTCAAGAACGGAAAGAAAGTCTTTGTGGCAACTGGATGGTTATAGAGAGGTAGACTGGGGTTAGACTGCAGGATGTTGAATGTGAAAGCAAAGGGTTTGGTTTTGTTCTAGGGCTGTGGAAAGCACTAGAGAGTTTTAAGCTGGAAAATAACATAGTGTAATTTTCATTTTTTAAAAGATTTATTTACGCATTCAAAAACTGGGGTACAGGCCAGAGGTGCAGGGGGAAGAGAAGGCACCAGAGGCAGAGTGGTGAGCAGAACAGGCTGACTGATGAAGTACACTGCTGAGGGGAGCAGCAGACGACACAGGAGAGGTCTGCCGCGCCACGTGGCCCGGGCCGAACTCATGCCGCAGTGGCCGTGGACAGTTTCAAAGTGCTGTGCTTTAACCTGTTGTACCAGGGAGTTACAATGTAATTTTCATTTTAAAAGATCATTCTAAATAATGATGAATGGAAAGGGGAAAATTAAGAATCATGGAGAAGCTATTATCACGGTCCAGAGTGAGAGATCATGGTGTCTCAGTCTAAAACACTAACAAGAGAAATGGAGATAAATGAGTAATTAGAAACATTTTGATAAATAAAACGGGGGTCCTTCCTAGTGGTGCAATGGGTTAAGGTGCAGCACTATCAAGCTCTCAGCAGCCACTGCAGCATGAGTGTGATCCCCGACCAGGGAGCTGACCCATATGGCGCAGCAGACCTCTCCTGACCTGTCCCTCAGCAGTGTACTTTGGCAGTCCGTTCTGCTCCCCACTCTGTCTCTGGTGAATCCTCTCATCACCCCTGCACCTCTGGCCTGTACCCCAATTCTAATGCATATATAAGTAAATACTTTAAAACTAAATAAATAAATAAATAAAATAGGTTAGCCAATGAACCAAATTTGGGGAGCACATGAGTAGATAGCGATGTGACACATCCCCTCAGTTTCCTCCATTGAGAAGGTTGATCAACAGCCATCTCAGTTTCTGTAGCACAAAAGAATTGGAAAAAAATTTATGATGGTGGAAGTAAAGAGTTTAGGTTTTATTTTATTATTTATCTTTTACCTTTTTCGTTAAGTATAGTTTTTAATATATTGTATCTGAGATGGTTATGACCCGTTCACCTCTCTCTGTATGAGCACGTCCCCACCATGCGGGAATTCCAGGAAGACTTGGGAAGTGAGTTGCTGTCATCCAGACATGGTATTTAAGTCCATGAGACTGGATGAGCTGTCCCAATAAGACTGGGCAGGTAGGAAGCAGGCAAATACCAAGGTTGGAGGAAAATGCGGAACTAGAGAAGGGAGTGAGAAAAGAGAGGGGGGAGGAGTATTCAGTGAAGGAAGAAGAAACGTAGGAAAAAGTTATGCCAGAAGTCTAGACAGAGAACATCTCAAGAAGGATGAAACACTGAATATTCCACTACATTTGAAAGGCCAAATAAGAAAAGAACACAAAAGTGGATTTGGCACTGAAAAAAAAAAATTCCAATGACTTTTTTATTTTTTTTTTTTTAGTAAAAACCAGACCAGAACAGATTAAAATGGGGGGGAGGGGGGCGGGAATAATGACAACTTAGATAACACTTCCTGAAGTTCAGCAATGAGTGAAAACTGAGAATCAGAGAGTACCCCTGGTGGTGAGGAATATTTTCCTTTGTTTGTGGTCAGATGGGGGCTATTAGAGTATATCTGTGCTGATCGAATAATCTGAAAGGGGAGAGGGTGGTGTTGAAAATGTGGAAAAGAAGAAACATCAAATCCTTGATTAAAAAGACGCGGGAAGGTGTCCAAACACATATGAGGATCTGCCTTCGTGAAACTGAAGTTGAAAACCACCAACACAAAGCCTTCCGTTAGAAACAGCACATTTCGTTCCCAACTAAGAGATGAGGAGCGCGGGGATCTAGAAGCAGACATGTGGAGCCGGCAGCTGGACAGTCAGAAGCTTCCCCTGAGAAGCACAGGCCCTCCCTCCTACTGTCCTGCGGGGTGACTCCTTCCTGCGTTGTCACTGAACTCTGCCCTAACCAGTGCCAGTGCACCAGATGGGTGTGTGGGGGCCCGTAATCCTGCCTCTTTTCCTAGACCTTCCTCAGCCCTCCCCCAGACATGATGGACAGATGCAGGAGACGAGAGCTGGTGGGAATAAGTGCGTTTCCTCGCTCCACATTTCCGCTCCCAACCCCTTTTCTTACCCTGTTTCCTCCTAAGCGCCTTCCATTATAACCATGTTTCCTTTTCAGCATTTTATTCCATTAAAAGTTGTTAAAAAAAAAAAGTTGTTAAAATGTCCCTGATCCTCTCTGTACTCTGACATTTTGATTCCTATTCCATGCACGTGTCTATCCTCATGGCTTTAACTACTATAATAAACACTGAAAATTCGCAGATGTCCCCCTGCAGCCTACATCTAGTCAGAAGCTCAAAACTCAGACCCCTACCAGACAGCTCCAAAGGGGATTTGTAGAGACACCCCAGCCTTTAGAGTCCTATGACTGAACTTACCACCTCTCCAACCCATCCTCATAATGACTCAGTTTTCAACATGTAATCAGTTTTCCCATGGAAATGTCTGGTTTTATTATGGAATCATCTGACTTCATGTCTGAAATCTAATCAACTACTACACTCGGTCAATTTTGTTTTCTTCAAAATCATACCTACAAAATTTTCCCCATCCCCAGAGTTACCTTAGTTCAGAGTATCATTATCTCTTGCCTAGAATGCTAGAATAGCTCTTAGATGTTCTCCAAGAGGCCAATGATAATGAAATTCTCAACCTGTAGCATGACCTTCATGTGACTCTGGACTTCATGTTTTCCTTGAGTATGTTCTCGCTCACATTTGTGCTTGTGTGCAAAATTCTCTCCACCAGAAGGCTCTTACTCATCTCCTAACTGTCCCCCACCCTCCCTTACATAAATAACTCCTTTGTGTCTGAGTTGGGTTACATCTCTTCCAGGAAGCTGCTTCCCTGACATCTTCCCTCTTGCTCTTATTCATTACTATACAGGGGTAGTTTTGGGGATACGCCAGCCAGGGAGCTTTCCAGTGGAGGTAAATCTATGCATGTAATTTAAATCAGTCTCACTAGGAATGTAAGTGGAATGAAGAAAGTATAGTCTCCAAAACCCACATCCGCCACACGTTCTCATATGGAGTATACCACGTAAGATAGAAATAGCTGGGCCAGCCAGACTATGGTTAAAGAACGATGGGTCCTGTAAACTGTGAGTGTTTGTTTTGTCAATCAGGGAGTGCAATTTGGGGCCTGGAGCTAGAGCATCCATTATAACACAGGAGGGATGAGAACATCTACCAACTGTGTCATCTTCTCTAATTTTCCCCATACTGTGCTCAGTCTCCTAAATAAAGCTAAACAAATAAATGTGCGTGTGCAGCTCTCTTGCTGCCAGTGCCTCTCCTAAGCCTGTAGCAATTCCTCACCATCATCATTCCCTATTTACCTGTTTGTGTCCACTGCCAGACTGCCAGGTGAAGGACTGAGTACTAAATGTTATTCTAACAGAGTACTAAGTGGTATTGGTATTCAGTTATTTACTTAGCGGATGAAAATACTGACATTCAGAGGGACAAGGTGAGATGCCCCACACTGCATAACATGAAGGCTGATTTTTAAAGTAGGCTGTTTCTGGGGTTCATAATTATGCTCAGTAACTATGCTGAACCCAAATAGCTTCTCTCCCCTCTCAAAACGAAAACTGGAGTTAGAATGAGCAGAAAGATAATAAAATGCTTTTTTTTTTTAAACTATATTCCTCCCCCATACGCTCTAGCCTGATTATTAGAACCTTAGCACTCCAGTGCATTTCATGACAAGAATACAGGGCTTACACATTCACACAGGTAAGATAGAACAGGAGGTTTACCTGATTGTACTTATTGACATATTAAGAAACTGATGTGAAATTGGGGAAGATGGACTTTGTCTTTTAAGCCCAGGAAAAGATCTATTTTCCAATGAATTGATGGGAAATAATAATAGATCATTTTGAAGTAGAGCTCTCGAATACTCACTTCTCTTGGTGACCTTGAGCCTCCTTCTCGAAATGTTGGTTTACATCTGAAATTAATCTATGATTTAAAAAAGAAAGTATGTCAAACTTGATTGAGTTACCTGCAAAAAAATCAACAGTGACAGATATTGAGACAACAAAACCAGATCCCCAAAGAGTAAGAAATAGTTTAACACTACCCTTAGTCTTTTGGAAGAATCATCGTGACTCTTCTACTGAATCCTAAATGATTGTCTATCTCCAATCCATGGCTCTTCTGTTCCATTGATAAAATTAAACTATTTTTGAACTATTATTAAACCATTTATCTCTTACACCATAAATTTGAGAAACTGAGATAATAAAGAGTCAGAGGAAAACTATAAGGCAGTTAAAAATCATCTATGTTCCAAATTTGAGAAGTAGGAAATGATAAATTGTAGAGATTTTCAGTATTATTATGACTGCTCATGTAGACACTCACAAGTGACTTTATTTACAGGTTCAGCACTCCCTGGCTTTTAGAGGGAGAGAGCTCCTAATATATTTACAACTTTGATATGGCAAAAGGAGTACAGAAATGAAGTAGATGGGTAAATGAAATTGGAACAGCTAAGTAATAATAGCAATAGCAATAAAATTAAATGTTAGTAACTGTTACCAGCTGGCAATGACTGTCAGCGTGTTGCTGCACCTCGGTGTTTGAATGTTCGTACACACAGCAGCTGGAGCACAGAGAATGCACAGGAAGTGATGTGGAAATGGGTTGGGGTGAGAAAGGGGAGGGAACACTCCTTGGTGGAGTGTCTGTCTTCCCCCAATGACAAATAAGTAGTCTCTAAAGAATTCACTTCTGCTGGAGGTGAGAGACAATGGGCATGTCACTTCCAGCACCTCCTCCATCACCGCCACTTGAAGGCTGTGTGAGCTTGGAGGATGCCTCCGAGACCTGGCTTCTGGCCCAGCACTGTCTCCTTTACAACCACTTTAGGAAGAAGGAAACTTAGAAAGATTAGACGCAGCTATAAAAGCAACAGTTTAAAGAGCTTGTGGATTTTTTTCTTTAATTTTCTTGTGGAAAATTCTATAGTGAATAGCCATGTTTGAGCAAAGAAAATATGGGGGAAATTAGCACATAGGAAGCTTCTCCATGGAACCTTCTCCTTCTTTCTCCCAGGATTCCAGATAAAGTGATAGCAACTGATACTTGGGCAAACAACAGCATGACTGAAGCTTGAGTACTGTCTTTCCATGGTCACTCTGGTAAGAACAGTGGCCTTCAGTTTCTGAAAAGGGCAGTTTCAGAAATGGGCTTGTCACGTGGCCACCCGTTCAGCAGGTGCGCCGGCTCACCTTTTCTAGCTGCTCGATGCAGGCGGTGTGGACTACAATTTTACACACGGCACACTTCCTCCGGAGAGCCGATTTCTACAACATCCAATTCAAAACACAGGAAGAACTGTTAATGGTTTGCTCTGAAGAGTTTCTTCGTAATAATGAGGGTGTACACAACTAAAGCACCTGTCATTGTTTCGTTTACTCAGCAAATTTAAAGCGCCATCAAATACAAACAATAATACAATGACTTCATCAACGGTCCTTCGACCAAGCAGTTCTGTGCTCCCATCATTATGGATGGATGACCTGGGTTGTCTCTGTAAAATACAAATATTACCGTAGCTGTACACATAATCTGAACCAACCTCTTTAATCTGTTAGTTCTAAATTTCTAACAGTGTAGGCAGCATTTTCCTCCTTTTTCTTTTTTTCTTATTTTTACTCCAGTAGTTAAGGGGTAGAGCCAACATCCACATTTAGGTCCGTGTTCAAAACAAGGTAGGTTCTTTCCCCACTGCCAGAGTCTACGTCTCAAGGGGCACGCAAATCCATACTAAGCTGCTTGGATTTCTGCCCAAATCTTCAGGAAAGCAAAAAGACAAACCTAACTTTTGCACTTAATAAGCAGCAGCAGCAGCTAATGAGACTCTCACACCCCATGGACCAGACAATCGCTGCACCCTAAGAAATAGACGGTATTCTCACTGCACATTAACGATGTGTCCCAGGTCGCGGGAAGTGACGTGTCCAAAGCCACACGATGAAGGCAACGCAGAGTCGGGCAGTCGGGCTGCAGTGCAGCTCATGTAAGCCACGGTCGGAAACTGTCTTCCATAAACGCTCCAGTGGGGCGCTGTGTCCCACAGAGAACAGTCCGCTTTCTGTCTCCTGCCTTGTTGCCAGATTAGGCGTCCTTTCCTGTCTGTGTCTGCTGCTCGCACTCTCTGAGATGCCAGCTTTAGACAGTTTACAATTTGAGAAATCAGCTAATTAAGGTTCATAACCATCTGCAGCACTGAGTGACTAAATTGAGGGAAGGCCTCAGGTCTTTTACATAGTAGTAAAATATTTGGGTTTTAGTTTCTCGACTGAAGAAACTGCGTCTTTGAATCAGGAGTGCTAGCTGCTCACTTCTTGGTTTACAAGCAGGTTTCAATTAGATAGTTATTTCTAGTGGGATCATAAGCTTCTTTCTGGATAGAAATAGCTTAAAGCATATACAGCAGTTGCACTTGATTATGTCACAATTTTTATTTTCAAGACTTAAAACTAAATATAAAGGTAAAATCCAGGAGCCTAGACATTGCAAAGACTGTCCAGAAAACTCTAGGTCAGTCTTCCCGCACTATGAAAGGCGACCATGAAGCAAAAGCATCAAATATAACGTAGAGGCTTAGTTCCGATTCCTCACGTCAGGACACAGCTGTGGGAGAACCTAGCACAAAATCGTAATTTAAAAATAAATACGACCTGGGCCCCAGACGTGCTTAAAAATTAAAATTTTAAAGATCTCATAATCCCTTCTCATCACTAAGTTTAAAGGACAATTAGGCTGGCTGCTTTAAATAGCAAGAAAAGTAATCTCGCGCTTGGAGTAAGGGCTCCTGGCTTTGGGGTGGCGTCTCCACTGAAAATGCGCTGATTTGCATTCAGGTGTGTCCAGAGCCCCCCACCCCCACCCCGTGTGTACACTAAGACAAGGCAGGCCACAGTGGAGATTGTATCCTACCGTAGCTGACTCTGAGCTGATAGAAACATGATCGGCATCTACTGAATACACCACATTATGCTCAGCTCATGGAAGTGGGCATAGTGGATCTTGTAGACGATGATAAGGGAAGCTGGAACGTTCTGCCTGGGCCCCGGCCTCTCCCAGGCCTCGGGGACAACAGACCTGTGCACACAACAGCTCCTCACCGAACTCCAGCTCCAGCAGCACAGAATAGGACCTGGCACAGCCCAGAGGCAGGAGCTGGGGCTGGGGACAGCCGGGGGGGGGGGGGGGGGGAAAAAAAGGGTTCCACGGGAGCAAGGGGAAGGCGACACGGGTCCCTGTTGGCCAGTCTAACACCAAACACCCCCACACCCTCCTCTGGTCATCAGTCCGAATCAAAGGCACAACCAAGAAAGCTGCATTTCCTTCCTTTGAGAGAGAGGTGATTTTTGCTAAACAGCAAGGAATATGTATCAGGTGGTAGCTAAAAAGGTTTGAGAGGAAAGGAGAGAAGGGGTGGGGAGGGAGGGAGGAGGGACGCCCAGTCTCAGTTCTGTGACTAGGGAAAGGGCCTGATGGGACTTCCTTGAGGCCTAAGTTATGCCTGAAGTCTGACACCAGGAAGCACCAGCAGGGCTGGCTGGACCCTTCCCAACAAGGCACCAACTGTATTTACCCCTGAAATGGGCATCCTGCCAGCCAGCCACAGCTGCCCTGCTGTGGCCTACAGTCACCCCCTACACACATACACGCACACACACCTGCCCCAGTTCAGCCACCAGAGGCCAGAACACAGGGCAACACTTAGAGCAGATCCTTGAAAAGTCCCCGTGCTGGCAGGTGAATGAGAACACACAGCCCTGCCCACACTGAAGGAAAGGGCGACAGGTCTGAGACCCGCCTTCTACACATGTGGTGGTTCCACTTCAGGTTTCCAAGAACTCTGGGAAAGTTAAGTGAGGCCTTACTATGGGGCCCCCAGAGCCTGCCTGACTCCCCACCTGGATGTCCCGTCTCTGGAGAGCCCCGGCCAGGCCAGCCACTGGCTGACATACTCCTGACTGGCAGGCCTGGGCCCACAGACCCACTGCCAGGACCTCCACGCCCCCACCTGCTGACAGGCCCGGGGAGGGGCCCAGGAACCGGAGCCCCCTGGGAAAGGCCCAGAGAGAGCAGAGCAGACCGGATGGCGGAAGGGAGGTCTCATCCCCAGGCATTCTTGCCCTCTTGCCTTTCAGGAGTTTCATGCTGAGGGGAGGCTGGAATCCAGGCAACAGTGAATTCCAGGTGAAGCAAGAAGAGTCTTAACCTGCTTTGTTCCCAAAGCTCAGGCTGGGCCCACGGGCAGGGCTGAGGATGCTGGGGGGCAGGCAGAGGCCAGGCCTCCTTCGCTCCTCTCCAAGGCTGGGGCGAAAGAAACTCTGAGCAAAGTGTAGGGAGCGGCCCGAGCCCGCAGCCAGGAGCCCGGGGCAGCGGAGATGCCTCCGTGAGCATCACGAACAGGCGCGCTGCTGCTGAAGGAGTCAAGGCAGATGAAGACAAGGCTTCTTTCATTTATTTAAGACCTAATTAGAAGAAATGACAAGCACACTTGGCATGTCTCTGGGGAGCCTGGGGTGCAATCTGTCAATGGGTGTTAGGGAAAATGCAGGATGACGTGACAGGGTGGTCTGCTCTTGCGATTCCCAGGCTGAAGCGCAGCCCCCTGGCCAGTTGCGTGGGCCCTCGTCCTGTGGAACCGGCAGGAGGGGCAGCTGGAGGTCCACGCATCCCCACAGGGCTCCTCACTACACCCCGAGGCTCTTGGTGACACGGGGGCTTTATGACCATGGACCTCGGAGCAAACACACCACATGTCTGGAGGGCCCCCTCAGCTGCAGGGAGACCCCCTGCAGGTCAGCGCAGCCCAACGCCAGTGCAGTCAGCTGTCCCTCACCTGGCAAGGGCCTGTGTAACTGGACCCTGTGGCCTCTGGACAAAGTAGGTGAGAACTAAGACAGACCCCAACGTGGACACTAAGTGAGGATTTTATTTGAAAGAAAAAGGAGCAGGGACATGAGGGCTTGGAAGGGGTCTCAGCGCAGCCTGCACAGGGCAGCCCTTCTGCGGAAGCCCAGAGGCGGACCTCCCGGGGCAGCATGTCCACGTGGCGGGAGCCGGCCGTCACCACGGACAGCGCTAGAGCCCACTCAGGACATCAGCCACCAACAACCTGAGGGGCGGCCTGAGGGCTGTGTGGGAAATTAAGAGGAAGTGGGGAGAAGTGGGGAGCCACCTGAGGAGATAAGAAGGGCTGGTAAGGAAAGCTCATGAACAGGAGGAGGCCAAAGCCTTGCTGAGTGGACTGCTCAGGCAGCAGAGTGGCCATTTAGAGGGGGGCAGGCTCGCGGGAGCTGAGTCAGTAAATGGACCCAGTGGAAAGCCCCATCGAAGATGCACGCATTGGAGAAGTTGGGGTGCTCCAGCGGGCAGGAGAGCCCACCTCAATACATGGAGGTACAGACACTCCCAAAAGCCAGGCTGGATTTTAGGGGCCCCCTGGGGCCCATAGCCGATGGGGAGTGGTGACCATGTGCATGAGCTGCTGGGCACCAGGACTCATGGTCAGGGTGGAGCTGTTAACATGTGACCCTGGCCAGCATGAAGGGTGGGCTCACCGGTGTGTACAGAAGCCAGAGGAGCCGTGTCACAGGGGCGGCAGGAGGAATGGTGACACGGGGTGAGTCCCCAGAGGCCCAGGATAACCAGCTCAGTTACAGGACGATGGGGGTCTTGTGACCCCACATGAGAGCACTTTGACAGCTGACAGGAACGTGGGAGAGACTTCAGAAGGTGCTGGGGGATGAGGAAAGGAAAGAAGTAGAGTAAACTGGGAGGAGACGGCCAGGTCACATGGGGGTGCTTGAAGGTTAAAATATTAGTAGCTCTTCCCTTTCTAAAGGAAAAGAAATGCAAATCCTGGAATAAGAATAGACATACAGACCAGTGGATTTGAACACAAAGCCCAGATATAGACCCACAGCATTATGGACAGCTAATCTTTGACAAAGGAGCAAAGCATATGCAATGGAACAAAAAAAAAAAAAAGTTGTTCAAATGGTGCTGGGAAAACAGGGCTGCTACATGCAAAAAAAGAGAAAGCTATATCACTACCTCACACCACACACACGCACAAAAATTCAAAACGGATTAAAGAACCAGATGTGGGGCCCTCCCTGGTGGCATAGCGGATTAAAGCACAGCACTAAGAAGCTAAAAACCAGTTCCGCATGAGTTCGATCCCGGCCTGCCCCAAAGGTGATCACATGGCGTGGCAGACCTCTCCTGACCTGCCCACTGCTCCCCTCAGCAGTGTACTTTGACCATTCGCCTATTC